CCCCCGCAGCCCTCTCGGGGGCTTCAGTGGCGTATAAGACAGACCGCCAGTGCAAGGGATGTAAAATAAAACAGTAACCTCCTTGTACAAAGGCTAGTGTTGTTTTTTTTTTTTAAATATATTAGTATACATCTACACTTCAGGACTGATCTGCATCATAAGCTATGAGGCTTAAGAGAAATTTACCGAATACACAGTTCCAACTTGGTTTGTCCAAGCAAAAACAGGGTTTTTCCCCCCCTTTTTATGGTTACGAAGAGATAATACTGGTAACCGCATATTTTAAAACGTACAGGGCTAAAGCTGCATTCATAGAGCCAGCTTTAAGTTTTAATTGATACAAAGCTGGGGTATGTAAGGGAGCAGTATTAATAAAAAAATGCAGACATCTAATCACATTTTATTCAAGCAAAATTCAAATACCATGTCAGCAGTTCACTCCCCCATTAAAATTGCATACATAAATCAAGCCTTCTGATATGATCGTGGAAGCATGAGCCGAGTTTTTGCTTTTCTGTGTTTCAATCTAATGCCCACATGTTTGTGACAAGTGCATGAAGGAAGTAGTACTCTTACTATTCTTAAAACAAACAAATAAAAGATCAAAATACCTTAGAGCAGAGTATAGAAATTTCACATTTCCAATTTAAGATCATACTGCCAAACTGTTTAATCTGAAAAAACCCTGATATTCCCAGCACGGAGCTGCAAAGCAAAAAAACATTAGAACCCTGACATAAACAACAATTTTATCCTGAAGTTTCACTATTCAGAGACATCGAATTTTAAAAGGGTAAGACAGCACCGGTCGTATGTAGACGATGCTTATCCAGTAGTGCGATCAGGTCAGAAGAGCCTGCCACAGGCGACGTTCATAGAGCGTTGCATGCGTAGAGCATGCATCTATGTACGCATGGAGCGGACAGCCAGGAGGAGATCCCTCTGCCGCAGCTGTAGCAACGCGTTTCGCTGCCGTTATTCAGATAACATTCTAACTGCTCTTGATGGTTTTCACTCAACTTTACAATTCATCACGTCACCTTAAATTACTTCCACGCACAAAGAAACAGAGAGAGTTGAGGGTCTGAAAGTTATATTTCTCTAGCAAATCTCAACAATGAAATCCGCTGTTAAAGACTGCACGTAAGAACTGTTCACTAGACTTCTGATACTGAAATGCTATTCACAGAGACTTTAAACAGCACAAAACAGCATTTCTGTGCCAGCTGCCTCAGCTTTCTTTCTGCATATCAGAATAAAAAGGAACGCTGACAAAGGCCTACAGTTTGCTAACCAGCAGTTAGTACCCAGAATTCCCATATTCAAAAAGAGAAAACTATGAGCAGGAAGCCAAATTAGGCAAGTTTTCTACAAACTAAAGTGAAGACACAACAGTTACTTTAACAAGACTAGGATTTAATTTTTAAAATTTAACATTTAATACAAATATGTCAGGATAACACAAGTACACCTGAAATATGCCAGTGTCTGAACTTTTATTTAACATGCAAAACAAAATCAATTACATCACATAAAAAAACCAACTGTAAGCTGTAATTTTACATTTATACATCAGAAGTGTCCATTTTCAGAAGTTGAAATAATTAGTTTATAACATCTAAATACAGATTTATACCACTAGAACATCGGTATACTCAAAGCAATAATCCTATATTTGCCCACAGTCTGTAATGACAATTCTTCTGCTTACTAACCCTTTGGGAGAACCAAAGGATTCAATTTTTTTCACAACATCCATTCCATCTTTCACAAACCCAAATACCACGTGTTTGAAGTCCAAGTGTTCTGCTTTTTTAAGTGTTATAAAGAATTGAGAATTGTTTTTATCCCGGCCCCTATTTGCCATTGACAACAATCCAGGACCAGTGTGTTTCACTTCAAAATTCTCATCTTCAAAATCTCCTCCATAAATCGATCGTCCACCTGATCCATCATGGTTAGTTATATCACCTCCCTAAATGAAAAGCAAAACAAAACAAAAAAACCCACAACATTAACTCTAGCCCCAAAACAATCAACCAACAGCACGATTATATTCTCTTCTGACAGTAAAGACTTTCCTTTGAAAAAACAGAAGTAAAATTCATTCTTAATTTTCACAAGTACTGTATTTACTTGGATATGTGGTATCCCAGCTGCAACAACTTTGCTTATGGTGTTCAAGCACTAGTAGGAGGTTTAATCTGAACACAGCAGGATGCGTTCTCTTGTTCATTCTGAACACAGCACTTCCTCCTCCCGCTCCACAGGGTGGCCATTTCTCTAGGCCTGCCTTTCCTACTACCTGCTTGCATCACTTAGCCCTGATAGCAGGGACCCGTATTATTTTATCAATTTATTATTTTTTTATTTTTATTTTTATGTTCTTATTTAGTCCCTGCAGGTACAAAACTCATCGCCTGAGAAAGGGCAAGTTACCACTGATGAACAATTTCTTGTTCCTCTCCAGGCAGTAGCTTTTATCACATTCCCAGGCAGATATTCTGGAAGTGCTGTCTGTTCAGGACAGCAGCTGCTGCTAACAAGCCACTATCTTGCCCTTCTGCAAGGCAGCATGCTTCTGGCTCCTGCTTATTTGACGACATGCATAAAAGTGACAATACAGGATACTGTATAGTCAAGGGAAGCCTTTATGAAAAGCCTCCGTTTGTACCTGGGGAAAGTTTGAGCAAAAGCAAACTAATATTAACTTCATGTAACCTTAAAAGGGCACGTATGGTCAGGGGGTACAAGGTGCAGGAGTTCAGCTGTTTTAAGAAAACCTACTCCTTACAGGATATGGAACAATTTAAAACCAGTTTAGGCTAAATGAGCAAGCAAAGCTTTCTTCCTTATCAGAAACACACAGGTTTAAACAAAACATTAGTAGTAAACAGCACGCTTCAGATTGCGGTTGTAACTAATGAAAAAGCAGGTATTTTGTTTATGCTGGTGACAAGTGGGGGGGAGGGGCAGGTGATAAATGATTTTTGATAGAGTACCACTGTCAGTCAAGATGAGTTTCATTCTCTCAAAGAAAACCATTCATTTTTTGCTTACCTGACAAACAAAGTCAGTAACTATCCTGTGAAACCTGGAGTTCTTGAATCCAAATCCTTTCTCTCCTGTGCATAGGGCCCTAAAATTTTCAGCAGTTCGAGGGACAATATCTGAAAACAGCTCCATAGTTATGTGTCCTAGGGGTTCATCATCAGCAGAAACCTCAAAATACACAACAGGGTTGGTGTCCTTTGACAATCCTGCTGCCAGAGACACGTGTCCTTTCTGTAGTTCTGATAAGTTTAGCTGGCATTCTTCAAATCTTTTCTTGAAAGAATTAGCCATTTCTTGGCTTTTAAATCTCACTGCAAATTGTTCTACTTTTACTTCACCGTCTGAAAAGAAATCCCAAAACAGGTTACTTTTGCT